ACCCACAGCGCTCACGCGAGCCAACCAATCGGACACACATCCAATCAGCCACTCAAGTCACATGTCAGATCGATGGTGGTACGACGAACGGACACGCACACGCGCAAACTCTGACACACCGAAGCAGCTACTACAATCGTCCATACAGTTTCAAAAACTTGGCAGATTATTTATTAATTCGATTTCGGGATTTTCTTCCGGATAACGGACGACTCACTTAATGACCATCTAAGCCACACTGTCAACAACTTAAATGAAGAAGCTTCCAGGCACTGTACAACCTAATACATCTTACTAGAGGGGTTAAGCCTCGTTCCACTCAAGAGTTATGTCCAAGGTAATTAGCAGATGGACTGAGGCTAACAGAAACCATTAGGTAGCAGAAGATCTGGTCCTCTTTCCTTGGTTCTGCAACAGGTCCATGAAGGTTTCGCAACAAACCGCCTGTTGATTCTTGCTTACTGTTCTTCAGGCAAGACACGTATTTTTATTCTTCTCGGAGCCGTATTGCTTTTAATTCCAGCCGTAAAGAATGTTATCTCATTAGACACCCCTGTCTGAGACTACCTGTTGCTGTTATCGACGCACAAGCACGCCGCCTTCCCTACCGGTGTGCAATCTGGAAAATATATATTGTTTTACTGCTGAACTTAGCACACGTATTTTGCCTGACTTTCCAATGCTGAGTGGACGACTTAGTTTTGTTCAGAACTTTTCGTGTGTCATGTATGACGTTGCGGCGTCTTTGATATTGGGAAAGACAACAAACTTGGTGGTGCGACGACCCAGTTCCATCGATGACCTAGCACAGTAGAAATTCTTGGTAAGACAGCTCTCATCAGAGGACGTTCTGTGTTTAATAACAAACGAAAAACGAATAAATTTTTCAACGAGGCAAGGGATATAAATTATAGTCTCACAAGGCCAAAGCAACCTGCTCAAAGGGAAGTTGCTAATTTTGGCACATCTTTTTCTCCGTGTTCACTCTTGTTCATTCCGGATAGTGAACTATGGTGTGCATGAGCTCAGGTTGTTAACGCGTTTGTGGAAAGTGCAGATAAACCTCTATTTTTGACCATATTCACACGTCAAACCGAATCTATCTGTCACAGGATGTTGTTAGGTGGTGAGGATATTAGGACATTTCCCACGGCCAATCGTCAGTTTTTGTGGACAGACCAAAATCTGCTTGATCAGCTTGGTCCAAATTATATGTTGTCCTTTTGAAACTTTAAAACCTGTTAATCAGAGCATCAGCAACCTGATAAAGACAGTCGACAAATAAACCACTGAGTACAAATCACTATTCAAATCTCGGTCAGTCACTGTGTGCGCGAAGGTGCGAGGAAAATTAAACTCTGAACAAAGACTTGAAATCAGTTCAGTAGTTAAGAAGCGAACTTAGGGGCAGGAAGGTCCGTGGTTCGTACCGGGTCATCAGCTAATGCTGTCTACCCTTGAGCACCTTGGAAGAATTTCAGTTCTTGTGCTTCCTTTTGGTGCACCTGAACAATTATCATTAACATTTAAACTCAGAACACTAGTGAAAGGAAACTAACGGTTCGTCATTTCTTCTGATCCATACAGACCTGTGGTCAGGCAGGGGTAGTAAACAGCACAACTCACTACGGATGACAACCGGATAAAGGGGACCGATTACCAACTCAGTGGGAGCTTATGTGCCTAATTCTAATACCCTTTGGTGTGTCACCCATATGAAGCATGATTTAGTCAGTTTATCCAAGCCTAGGCAAGAGCTGCTGAGACGCTGCAACTTGATTTGAGCCTTCTGGTCAGTAAGTGTAAGCGTTAACCATTGTTATGCCTCGAGACTCAAAACCTAGCCCATTCAGTTGAAAAGCGTTTGTGGGAGCATAGGGACTACTATGATCCGTTCAGTTACGCTGAATATATAGCCAAAAACAGTTATACAAGACGAAGCGGTAAAATACTTCTCCCAGTTCTCATCCATATTTTGGCGTCCTACTTTCTGCATTTTTGAAATCTGGACGAAAGTATATTTAAACTCAAAGTTAGCCTAACAAATACCCGCATCTTGCTAGCTCGAGCCCGGCCACAACCAAAACCTACGCTAAAAAGACGGTAAATAACAACTAGGGAATGAAGCACAATTCATTTCAAATGCAACTCATCCTACTATTTCGTTTCTTTTAAACCAAAAACACTCAGTTAACAACTGAAAACTACTTTCAACACGACTTATTTCTACAAGCCAACTTCAGGCTCATACCGAATAGTGTGCATTTGAAGAAATACACTCAATTGAAAACCAATTTGATGAAAGCAAGGGATTCAGCCAAATCCAGCTAGAATCGCTGGTTTATGAAAATCTTACTCAAAGCCCGCTTCATATGTCTTTTCGTAAGATATTTGATGAAGTATATTTTGTTGGCATACCTCACTACTAACGTAGTTGCTGGAAAATCTTAGAGACGAACCACAGCTGGTTCGCCCTCCTTGTCATTATCAGACAAGACTAGTATAAAAATCGTCACCAAGCTGGTTGTTTAGTTGAATAACTTTCTGGTGCGAGTCGCACTATCACCTCCTCCAGCGTAAGCCACGAACTTACTCGCTTCAGTTCCTTCTGGTAGAATACCGGCTGAAGACCCCTCAACATTTGTACTAACATCAACCTCGCCAACCAGGTCCTGCAGTTCCGATTCCACCTCGTCAATATCCAATTGATTGTATGTTTCATTTACCCCATCCAGTAATGTCAGCTGTGCCATTGTATCCACGAGAGTCAAGGATAGTTCACCTGGAAGACCTGACTATATAGTAAGCGGCAATGAAGTGGATGAGCGGAATACTTCACAGATAGAAGTTATGAGAACTTGAAACTGGGCGTTCAATTGAACAAGCAAACAACACAAATTCATACTTAAATACTTCACAGATAGAAGTTATGAGAACTTGAAACTTGGCGTTCAATTGAACAAGCGAACAACACAAATTACATACTTAAATAGCTCCGAAAGACATTTTCCAAAGAATAGAGAAACTTTTTCGACAAAACCATTCAGATTGTGTGTAGATGGGAAAGAATTTCATCAACACAAAGATTTCATTGTTTTCAAACTACCGTTTTCGAGAAGGCGGTAGCGGCGAATCACATATCAGTGAAAACACCGTCGTTGAAAAGTTCCCGGAGCACTGTCTTAAGAAAGCCCCAATATTCTTGCTGGCATCTAGAAACAGGTGGAACCGTTATGATGAGATGACAGTAGCACTCTTATTGGACTGAATCTTAAAGACCCGCTGGACCAGTTCATATGGGCCTAACGTGAATCCTCATCTAATGAAGCATTCCATTTGATGTGAAACAATTTGGAAGCCAAGCTTCCAGTACTTGATTTCATTCTCAGCCGAATCTCCTCAAAGTGGGAAACACTAGTGTAATAACAATGTGGGAACCTAGACTTATTCTTCAAAAATTAATATTCCTCAATCATCAGCTATGTTCTTTCAAAGCCAAAGGCGCATCCATTGCGCGGAGATTGTCATATCCAAGTTACATAGAAAGTGTGACAGGTGACCAGTATGTTTTAGACTTGTTTGTTTACAACTGATAATCTAAGTTACCAGTGGGGTGCTCAGTACCACATAGCATTTGCCTGAAGTTACGGTTGCGGTGCATGAAAATTACTTAGTTGCAGACCCCATTGGAATTTCGGGCTGTAAAAATGGTGTGTGGTCACATGTATATGTTCGACGTGTGGATAACGTCCGCGGCAGCTCTGATGGGAAAACAACAGTCCGAGGGACACAAAGTTGCGTAATCGAGTCCCCCCAAACATGTTTGTCTTCTCTTACACTACGCGCATTTGGTTTCTTTTTAAAAAGTACATGTGTTATTATTTCTGTTGATTCATTCTCTAAGAAGAATGATCTGCAAACACAGGGTTGTCGTCGGACATATTCTTGATGAATACGGTGCACGTATTTGAGAGTTCCGCTTTCATTCGCACAAGATAAACAAACCTCAAATCAACCGAAAGGTCACAGCTCCTTATCCATTCAAGCGAACGCAAAGAACACTTATATGATCCAGAAGAGGCTAAAAAAGTCGTAGGAAAAGATCATCCTAAGACAGTGCCGTATATGTGCCAACTTGAAAACTCCTAATATAACCATCAGTTGTCACAGAACATCGACCTCGGCTGCTCACGAATGAAACACGTACGTCACTATTCGGCTGGTAGGTGCACACTGAAATGGTTAGAACCATCAGTTGTCACAGAACATCGACCTCATAGGGTTTAATCGGCTGCTCACGAATGAAACACGTACGTTATTACTCGGCTGGTAGGTGCACACTGAAATGGCTAACCGCGCTTGAAGGAAACATGTCTCGCTGACACTGAATGTTTTCCGAGTATCCCAAACAGACGTTTGATTAAATAGAAAGGAAGTTTTACACCTCACAGCCGTCCTTAAGTCATCATTTCAATATGTCTAGCTTTCCAAAGGGGATTGTCATTTAGTTGCGTTCTAACAAGTGATTTCGAATCCACTTCGAACTCGTATAGTGACTCGTTGCCATTCGCTTGCAATGGCAGGATTTCATTAGAAGTCAGAGGGAAACCCAGATAAGCGAGCTTTTTCGGTTGGTCATTGCCATTATCACCTTCTGGAAACGCTTTCTTGGCCCTTGGTTGGTTGAATTTCGCAGGAAATTTGTCATAGGGACTGTACGTTCCACAAATAAGGCAAATGCTGATTAAACGTACTGAAATACTTACGTCAGATTCTGAGACTTCAAAGTACGTTACTTGGGCGTCTGTTTCGTCAACCGATATTGTGGATTCCGACTCATCCACTGGACAACGCTTCTGGGATAGTTCGGTTATGTATGAATGGAACTGGGCTATCTGGTTAGCAACTTTTTCCTCCAAGTGAGTGTACGCTTGAAGCAGACACTTCAACGTTACTCCTGGACCCATATCCATGACTGAGCCTAGAATCAGATCTGGTGTCTCATCATCGACAGCGGACTGCGTGCCGACTGCGGAGATTTCTATGAGGTTGTTGAGCTGCTCGGACCCGAGTCCGTTCGCTTGCCAAATGTGAGTGATGTCCTCTGTGAAACAGTGCTGTTCGTTTTGAACAGCTTGAAGAAGTTGCTGAAAACAGAAACCAAGTGTCTACATTGTAGCGTAAGTCCTATGGATAGATGTCAATAGTGTTACCAACGTGACCCCAAATTGAAGTCTAAAAGCCGTCTTGATCGATCACTTCATCATTTTACACAAACCAAACACCGCAAAGTGTAATCTTTTACAGTTTCGTCATAATGAAACTGAGCAGTGTCGAGTAAGTAGTCATCAAAAAGAGGGATTGTAAAATCAAGGGATGTTGTAACTAAATCCACTCATTCATCTGCGACACTAGCACGTTCAGTGTTCAAAACAGGATAGGGTTTCCGGGTCCCTACAACAGTAAATCGGGAAATGAAGAGAGATCTTGTCAGTAGCTCGCATCCTATAACTAGCTCAAAATATGTTTCCTCCCGATGAGACAGCTGTGTATTAAATGGTCGTTGGCTTGTTCGCTGAGCTGGGCAATTTGGTTGCAAACGTTTCATCACCAATCGAGGTGACATCATCAGTGCGTAGTTGTGCGTAGCGGTGGGTTAGTGGTTGTGCGTTCAGTAGTGTTACGTGTGTGTTGATATACGTGCTGGTAGCCGGGGATGACCTTTGACCGCGATTAGTTATTCTGTCGGGCGGTTCCATTGGTTGTTCCTTTTATCCCGTGTCCTCACTCGCCGATGCCCACGTGACTTTTGAACTTGGCATCCCTCGCCGTCGTAGTCTAGTCGATGTTGGAGTGATCTTTGTCCTTCCGAGTTCCGGTTGTGACCTTTATTGATTTGACTCCGAGGTGTTCCTTGTTTCTTGGTTTGTTAATCCATTATTCGGTCCTCCTTGAGTGTTTCGGTTGCGATGTTGATCCCTCGCGCGTAGAAGTGCGTAAGTTGGATCCAATTGGATTCTATATTGTCCTTATCCTCGGTCAACGAGGCTATAGCAGCTGGAACCGGTGCACTTTAGCGCGGAAATTGTGGGCTAAAATTGTGAACTAGACTGATTGAATGGGTTTCGACCACGTCAGTTTATACACAGACACATTTGGGCTAAAACCCACAGGTCCAATGCAGTAAGCAGAGTTGTGTGCGAGTGACTTCTCACGGGATGTGACAACGGCTATCTGGACTGAGTCAATGGTGCCTTGCATTGATCTATCAATAGATCACAGATTTACATAACCATAGCTGCAAATTATCGCTCCTCACTGCCCCCTGCAACGTATCACCACCATCAAACATCTAATTATGCCAGCTGCAGTCATGAAACCCGAAAACTGTTTGAAAGACAGAAATATGTAAAAACCCGCATCTATCGCCAATAGTACCGTGGGCATAAGTGGTCTGATAGAACCCCAAAAGCCATAAGGCCTTGAGGTAAGAATAATATAGCACAGAGTAGAGAAAGAATGGGTAGGAAGCCACCTTAAAAGAATCGTGAATGTTCAGGAAAAAATATCAAGCACCTGAGCCCTTCATCTCTCGATCGCAGTGAACAAAACCTATCCCAAGAGCTCTATGCGCGAAGCTCAGTCGTGAGCTGGCTTAGACAACATAAAACAAACGGGATTCTTCCAGATTATATTGCACAGTCAACATGTTCAGTACTCTAGGGTCACCATTACGCGAAGGCCTGCTAGGAAATGCATCCAAGGGGGAAACAATAAACACCCTTTCAAAAGACCGAGTATATTTGACAGGCGGATAGGTTCTACTTTCAAGATCAGTTGGCCCGAAAAACTGCGCAACAAGCCTTCAACTATGTAGCGTTTCTTCTGTAGCGAGGCTTATATATATATATATATATATATATATATATATATATAGAGAGAGAGAGAGAGAGAGAATTGTTCTGCACATTGTTATTTTGATTTGTAGCAGTAACCACTACTCGCGCATGATGAAAGTTCTGTTTCCTGACAAAGCTGCCATGTTCCTTCAGTAAACATTACCGCCTAGTCTTGTCTACTTACCAACCAATGAGACAGATAGCACCAGGATATGCAAAGGAACAATATGGTTCGTCGGATAAAGCAGTATGAACACAACCCATACCTGGTCGGTATGATGGAACTTTTGGGGTGGGAAAAGGAATGCTCTGGACTTATGTATGGACGGCCACAGGGGTTCTATCATTTCACTCTAATTAGGTGGGAAGCCCACGTGGCTAGATATTCCTGTCTCGTTCATTCTCAGTGTCTCTTGTCACACAGCAAAAATTACTGAAGTCCTGTTGTGCGAGACGTGGAACTGTGTCCAGAATGTGAAATTAGCAGCAGTAGGTGTGAGCATTTGCACCTCACTATCCCACATTCACGTCGGGTATTTATCAGAGTTGTTGAGCAGTTCAGTCCGCCATCCAGGAAAGTAACGTCTTCCGGTCTACCAGCGGACCTTCATGAGGTCTCTCGCTCAAAGCTTCGGATAACAAAGTCAAAGCTAATGAAAATGGCTTACGAAGTTACCGTGCCCAGGAACCGCTGTAATATTTTCATCCCTACTTTGTGCATACACTCTCTGTAACATACACAACTTACGTGAGAGTAGCAAGGCATACGTATCAACAGCAACAAGTAAAAAAAGGAGCTTCATTATAGAAACTGGCAGTAAGGGTGCTGCTGATATGAGCTTGTCATCATTATTCAAGACAACTTCAGTGAAGTATATGACCATTAATACTGCATGGAAACCAATATAATTATTCATATTTTTCTTAACTTGCCAATTACTAATTCCAATAATACTTGCAAAAACATACTTGACATTGTGACTGTTGTACTTGAAGCAAATCGAGTTGCGATGCAATCGACAATTCTGACACTGAAACATCCAGTTCGTCCAACTTCATCGAAGGTTTCGGAAGCTCTTGGGACTGGAGGTAGAGTAATCTCAAAAAGGATTGTGCCTTTTGAATGCGCTCGTTCAAAGCAATCACCGCAGGTGAATACACCGTCTGCAACTCGTCTCTGAGAGTATGCAACCGTGTATTAGCTTCATCCAGTCGAGACATTAGTTCATCTCTCCTTGATAGTTTGTCGTCGTCTAACAGTAGCGTGGAGAATCTATCATATAAGAGCGGATCAAGGTTCTGCTTGATCCAGTCAGAATGTGAATTCAGTTCACTAATTTGTTGCTGATAAAATCAAGAATAAGAAAAAGGGATTATTCTGAGTGTGTCATTTCGTGGTACTCAGTCAAATGTCCCGTATTTGCATGACTAGCCATTGATTGCGAATATCATGCTCCCAAAAATGTAGACACTTAATTAATTGGGATGCATGCAATACGAGGGAACTAGAGGTATGCTTTCGGCCATGGTCGCCAGTCAAATTCGATGAGAATCTATTGCACATCCCATGCAGTCGTGCCAAGGCTATTAACTAAATATTCAAAAATATGGTCAGCTCAATCACTTTATGCCTACATTCCGTCACCACTTGTTCTGCAAGCATATCTGAGTACTGAGAGGTCTACTTTTTTCCGGACACATGGCGTACACTTAAGTTGTTTTTCCAATGCGATCAGTTGGAGAAACTACTAGCTACACTAACGGAAACCAAAAGTAATGTCAAGTGGACTTCAAGAGACTGAACTCCAGACTGAATCGCTGTAAGTGGCCTACCAACTGAAACCAATGAAATCAGAGGAGATGGCAAAGATTTTGGGCATGCTGACTGACATCGCTGAACCACACGCCTTCGCGAATTCCACTTTGTCTTGAAGGTGTCCAACTACTTCCAAGCTTTATAGTAGCTGAGATCTAACGCATATCACCCATCCACCGGTCATGAACATGCCGAGTTTCCGTGGTTAACGTAAGTCTCGACTCAAATCTCACTGATACGGTTGGTCCCATAAGTTTCAAACAAACGCTGATCTTCTTCTTACGCCTTTTTGCAATAGATCTTGTGATAACTGGCAAAACCAACGTTCCATGTTCGAAAATATGCTTTTACCCCTGATCTATTCATTAAATGTACTCAACTCCAGGTGAACTGTTTGTTTTAGCAAAAAAGTTAATCATACGGTAAGCAAGAATCAGTTCTAATACTGACAAGTGCACTTGTTCGCCTAATGTCGACTAATCTGGTGAGCTGTGTGGTTACTATATGTAACCAAACTGGTGCACAGCCCTCGTTCTCCTTGATATAGTGGAGAAACTGAAAAAGAGCAAAGCGATCCACCGAGCGCTGTAAGCGACCCAACCTCGTTTTTAATGGGCAGCACTGCAATGCTACTGTTAGGAAATGCAATGCCACCGTACTTACATCAATCGTCGTCAACTGTAATTGTAGCTGCTCTGGTTTAAGAAGTTCACCAGAGTGGAGCAACGTCTTGGTTTGTCCTGTGAGTCCGAAGGTGCCAGCTTTCGACGAGGTGGAGGTGACCATTTCATCGACAGCATCCAGCTAATGGGACAAAAAGTAAACTCCGCAAAATAAAAAGGGCGCTTTGTAATCACTGTTTTGTGTTTAGGAATGGTAACCCGGGTAACAGGAATAAACACAAGCCATGAGAATCGACACTTTTTGAAATCTTGCAACTGTTTTAAGACTCGAAGAAAGAAGCTATATATTGGGTAGTGTTCGTCAATTATTTGTTTGTGTGCTTCAAGTCGCAAGATTACTCACGTTTTGTAAATGGTTGGCCTCCTTAGCCAACAGAAGTCGATTTCGCTCCACAGAGCAGCCCAGATTAAAGCTAAGACAGTCTTGTTAACCGTGGACGAGAAAAAGAACACACGAGACACCAAATATCCATATGCCACAGTGCTGCACGGACTAGCTACTGTTCTGCTGCCTGCTTGAAATTCGCGTTCCTGTACACCTGACCGGATTCAAGGTCACATTTTGTTGGCCTGTATTCAAACACTGAGCAAATTGTAGACAATCATCGGGTAATAACGAGCCCAAATCTCACTGCTTGCCGTACGCTAAATACAAACACACCGGAACTAGAGAATGTGGTAAACAAAAACAGGGTTAAACGTGTATACATATTGTGGTCCTTCTGTGAGGTATTCGCAAAGCACTTGCGCGGCGTTATGCTTGTTCTCTGACTGGTGCAGTTCGTGTGCACTGGACAGTACGGAACATTTTGAATCTGTAGGCTGTTTGAAAAACTAAGTTCGGTTTCACTGCAACAGATCCAGCAGTTGATCGAATTTATGAAAAACAGTTTCTCAAGAAATCTGAATATTCCAGAACTGGATACGTGGGACCGAAAAAATCGCATGCCGGATTGCCCCAATTATTTGTAAGTTATACCGCAACAATGCTTGCCATTAACTCGTAGGAGTTGTAAGACCCAACTGAATATAAGTGAGCCAGTACAATCACTTGTTTCGTCTTGATAAGCTGGACGAACGAAAATGAGAAATATAGCACTAATTTCTTAAGCCCTGATAAATGAATGTGTTCACAAGCAGGCTAAAAGCTTCATGAATAGTCTTTAGTTATTGGACACACCAACGAAGCGTTTCGACAAGCACTTTCAGGCATTTTGTCGTGGGAACAGATCCTCAAAAAAATAAATCCTAATCGAACTTGTCTGCTACAGTAACATCAGACATTGTCAGGTCATGACGATTTCCAAACAGCATATCGTTCAGTTGTGCTTATACTATTTACAGTCCATATTTCCGAGAAAAAATGAGGTAAATGACATCATGGTGAATCCAGAAACCGAACATAGGGTAACCGACCAACCATATCTACCTGACGATTGCACACAGAGTGAAACTCGAACTTGAGGACCCAGTGTCCACCAATCTGGTCGTCCGATCCGGACCGCTTGAATCAGCCATGTTACTCGGTGCGTTAGTTGTCTAGAAGTGCATACCAACTAGGTCTCATTGTTTGTGACCGTTTGTGAATGCACCATATTCTCGCTGCAATGTCGAAAACCACCATGCCCGGGTCACTTCAGCCACAGGAAGCAGTGCTCTGTTGACCAACACTATTGTGTCTACTGATGCCGGTGTAACTAGCTCAGGTGTGAGCAACGTCCTTCGATGAACAAAGCCAACCAAAGAGGTTTTCGTCAACAAACTCAGTTTGCTAGTAAAAAAAACATCCAAACATAAGATGTTCCTCAGCTTCTGATGATTCCTTGCAGCTGATATTTGATCTAAGTTTGCCTAAAGCATCCATAAAAGTCCCCCTCGTATTTCAGAGTTGCCACAAACGAAAATGAAGGGGCTTCAACCCCACCCACGACACAACCCTGCAAAAATCAGTTTTAGAACTATCCACCCAAACGATTTTTGCGCCTTTTCCTGTTCTCGGTGGACATAAAGAGGGATGAAAGTGAACCTATGAAGAATTTTGGTCAGTCCTGAAGGATAGCCTCCGGCTTTCTGCACGCAGGACACAATGGAAACCTATGATTCTAATCCCCAGTTTATCAGTGTCGCTTACATCAGGCTCCGAACCGTAAGTCAAAAAAAACGAAAGATTGTATGTTCCAAGCGCTGGTTGCATTTTTGCGGGTTCGATTTGCAAATATAACTTTCACTAGTTTCAGTTCGCCTCACTAGGCTCACTTGTTTGGATGCCAGCATTTATGAACTACATGGTGTCCTAAACCTTGATCGTCATCATCATTATCATCGACAGCAAGACATCAGTGTTCAACACCGATGCTTCGCTGCCGTGCAGTTCATGCACGCCTAGACAGGATGACGATGAGGGTCCTCAACCAAAGCTTTTGGATCAAAAGTCTAACCGCAAGGTAGTGGTGTTTGGTTGGAAATTCAAATGCATTACCATTTCTACGGAACAAGTCGCCACGTGTTCCAACCCTCAAACTGGAGGACCAGGAGACTGTGTTCGTCGAACCTCCAACCATTGAACAACCTGGTGTGAGAGACTCTGTGAGTGTCGCGGGGATCCCCCAGGATAGCTCAATGGGTCGCTGAGGTGCGCTAACCGTCACACTCCTGCAAGGTCAAATCTCTTCGTGACGGCCTAAACCTAAGTAACCGTTAAGAACAAGCATATACCAGTGTTCTACTAAAAAGTGGCTACCAAACTACCACACGAATAAGGTCTTTGACAGAAACTGGGGTGCTCGGGCTATGAGATATGCACATTATAAGTAGCACCCTTTATTAAGTAAAAATGCCACATTCTTTTGAATGAATTAGGAGCCGGTACACTGAACTGAAGAAAGCAAGGAAGACAAATGCACTGAGTCTTTGTGCTGAAACCAATTTAGTTCTTAAACCAACGAAAAAGGGTCAATTTTGTGGTTGAATGACGGACGAGGCAAACAAATGGTTCGTGTGTAAACGAATCGTAATGCTATCGTTTATATCAAGAGCACTCATAGGACATAAATATAGATGAAGGGACAGGATAAAAAGGTCTCACCACGTGTTTTAGTTGTTCCTCAAGTTCGTCCGTCAGCTGAGTCCAAAACTTCGTGATATCCATTTTGAGCTGGACAAGGCAATCCACACCTTCAAGGCTGCCTTCGACGTGGTACTGCAACAGAATTTTATTTGAGTCTGCCGTCTGTGTGACTTCGAACAAATCTGTCAGTACCGGATGGAGTTCAGACTGAAGATCTTGAAGGCGAGTGCACTTGTTGTATAGGTCCTTGGTCAAAATGGCCAGGTCCTCCGGTGTCGTCTGATCTTTTGCTTCGAAGCTTTTCAGATTTGTTAGTTCGTTCTGAAGTGAAGCCAACTTGTCCTTTGCCCGCAGATTTAACCGGTCTAAATATCGATCCAGTCTCTCCAAAGATTCCTTCTTCTGGCAGACAATACAAATCAATTCCTCCAGTTCTCCAGTCGCGTTTGAAATAGGATCATCCATTCGATCGAACTGAAATTCCTTTGTACTTTTGCTCAACTCGGCCAAGTGTGGTGCAACTCGCTCTGTAAGATCCGTCTCGATTCGATGGAGTCTATCCAGTTGGTCTTTCAAGCCGTGTTCTGGACTCCAGTGGATTCTTGTAGGCGCGTCATGATTATCGAGGAGTTTGGAACATCGGGCAAGCTCCGCCTGAATCGAATGCAGATTTGCATTGAGTTCACCTTGAAGAGTTTGGGCCTGTTGCAGCTGTATGATGAGTTGTTCACACTCATGCAATTTGACTGATCGCTCTTTGCGAATTCTTTTCAAACGAGTTCGTAATTCCGACGGAAAATTCACATCTGCTTGGGCAAAAGGAATATCACAATGCAAAGCTTCACACTATGTTATGGGTACGATTTCACTGACTTCCCATTTTTATATCAAATGTAGTGCACCAGTTGACTAGACAGTAGTTTTTTCTTTAAATGAGACTTAAAACGCATTTCCTTCTGGTTATGACCAGTGGGTATGTTCCCGAGTTGTTTCTGACAATCATACTGCCAAAGCCATCTAGAAAAACATGACTCTGCACGTCTGTTGACATATTTTTTCGTCGAGACACGAACAATAAAGTACTGGGGGCAAAGTTAATAGACGATGAATAAATTAAGCGTTACCATACTATATAAGACCGGATTTACTTACAGTTTTCCTTAAAAATGAGGATGGAAACAATGTGACTGTTCATTCTGAAGTGTGTAAAATACTTTTACGAAATTACGACCTCATTTGTTTAGTACAAGTTACTTCACAGAGGATGATAACCAGAAGTCCCATACTCTGTTTGCCTACTTAAAATAGTATACTATGAGCCGTCCCCAACCAGTCCTCAATCACATGAACAACAGAACCAGGCGCGCATAAGTGTGGGGACCAGCGTTATTACCGTTCTCAAAAGTCAACTGAACTGGTAACTGTAGTGTATCGCTTGGATATGAACCTGGGAAGCGAAGAACTTATTGATCCGTGACTGATATGGAACATATGTACAGTGTTTTCTGCGATTTCGGAGAAAACGCCTTTACTAACTTGTGGCGATAAGATGCGGACATGCCCTTAGTTTGCTTCGTCGCGTGACACAAGCCCATTTCTCGTTGCTGATGACACACATGAATAGCATTCAAATGCTATCCACACCAGGCCGTTCCAGTGGATACACTTGAGAGGCAGGTGTTTTTATGATGTTTATTGCTCCGATCATCCAATAAGTTGACTCCAAATAGACGTTCGTCTCCATGATGACCAAGTTGAAGAATGTTTCGGACGCAGTCGTCGACCTTGAATGTATAAACAAAACTGAAACCGGGTCTACGATACCGGTGTTCAACTTGTCCCATCACTAGAAAACGAATGTATTGACAAATCAAAGACTACGTTGGATTCAGCAGGGTCACTTGTAAAAACAAATTTGTATGAGAATGTGAGTACTTGCCGAAATCTGTGCAACTTGGGCTCGAGAGGAATATAAAGTTGATGGAGAATCGGGGATTTCACCTACCTGATAGGCCCCGAAAAGGATGCCAACAATCTCACGAGTGATGTGTTACATTAAGACAACAAAGTCTTTTATTATGAAAGACGTCAGAGCTATTTTCTGCCCGTTGCACGCAGAAGCCTAAGATAGCTGATGCTAAATAAATCAACGTCTTCAATTAAAACCAAAACAAAATTAAGATCGTTGAAATGTCCAGATCTGCTCACACTCCGAATATGCATCTGATTATGTGTACACAAATATTGTTCTCACCGACATGGACGAGAATGAACCGGCATACAGCCTCCGAGAGCCTCGTAAGAGATAGAAAAGCACGGAGAAGCGTTGGGGATATGTGGAATAAAACCACGAGTTTCTTGCGAAAGCGAACAAGAACAGAAGTGAAATATGGACAATCTAATAGAGTCACCGCACGACGATAGGAAGGGGAACCCTGCCCTTCAAGTGAAACTGAGCTTAAAATAAGACAGAAAGTTGCGCTAATTCCCTCTTTTATTGCTTTCAGGAAACTCCGTAGAAGCCAGAAACGAATAGCAAAACGAATAGTGAATGGGGTATTTGACGAACAAATGACCGCATGACTGGCAAAAACTGTTGCATGAACATTCTCATCATTATCGTCAACTACATGTGGTGTACTTATTATAGCTAATGATCAGGGAGAATAGGAGTGGAGAGCTTCGTACTGGGACAGCAGCTGACACCAATGGTGCGATAATACGGATGTGGGCTTTTCATTGGGGAACACCGGGAAGGGAATCTATGCAATAAAACGATGGTTTGGTTATATGCGCGTCAATGGGGGTGTGACTAAGTCACAACCGCAATTTCTCTAACCCCTCGGGATCTCCATCAAAGAGGGAAGCAGTGACCAGTGCAGCTGAGTTTACCACTGGCTTGCATACTTTATTACGAAGCACGGCTTGGTTTCTTCTGGTTCGCTTCTACACAATCAATTAGTGTGAAAACATTTAATCCTATATGTTTTTGGACACATACCCATGACTGTCTTCTATGCCTGTTTAAGTGGCATACGTCAGCTCTGAAAGAGCATAAGGTCTGGAAAAGCACCAAGTGTTTTGCAGTTTGATACACAGGAAGGAGTTTGAAAGCCCCCTAGGAAAGGGAGCTCTTCGACTTATCAGTGTTGGTGAGGTTTTGAATGACCGGCAGTTTGGACGGATTAAATCGGCCAAACGACGCTGTGTACTCGCCTTGGCATTTATTTTACTTCTATTATATCATCATCAGGACAACTTGGGCTTAAAAGGAAGGGAGCAGAGTTGATCCGTTCACTGTTTTAATTCGTGAAAAACGCTCAATATGAATAAACTAAGTACAGGGACTAAGGGCAAAAGTGACGTATTTTGTATCGTTCGTGGTATCACTCAAGAGAAAAACAAGTTTCTTACTAACTAGCATCAATCAAAAACAGCGCAATTTGGGTTCAAGTAGATCATAAGGTTGACGGAAACTCGGGGACTGCGCCCACCTGATGAGCCCCAAGAAGGGCGAAACCGGTCGTGGGCTGTCGAAGAGTTTTCAGCAACCTTGTGAGTAGTTTCCTTTACAAAAACATGCAATTTCTTTCCCTCTATCATTTATATTTTCTATCTGCTAAGGACCTTGTGGAACATTAGGAAAGTAGTACTAGTAATACAAACCAACGGTTAAGTGCTTGTGGTAGTTTTTGTATTAGATGGGTTATTTTGGTTCGTGTCCGCAGAGCACGGACAGGGGAACGCGTTCCGTGATACATGTAGGTTGCTCCAGGTAAGGTACTATTTGAGACAAATCATTCGAGATTTGCAACACTCATTTTCCCGAATCGCAGCTGTGAGGACGACTGCACGAACTGCTCTACTGTGCTTACATACGCACCTGTAGGTTTGATGCCTGCTCTAACACTGAGACGCTGTAATCATTAGTTTGGTAGTGGATTATCGCACATCCGAACATGGTTGCAAAATATCCAGATTGTTAGACCGGACCTAACTACTACCTGCCTGCTCTAACACTGAGACGCTGTAATCAGTAGTTTGGTAGTGAATTATCGAACATTTCAACATGGTTGCAAAATAGCCAGCTTGTTAGAACGGACCTAACTACTAGGAACTATCCAAAGTCGCCAGACTTGATCAGCTGATGATGCTCCATGAATCAATGTTGGTCCTACCTAATCGATGCATTTTAATCTGCTGAGCGACTAGATCGAATTTTATTTCCAACTTAGCAGACCAGATGATAGAAATTTCCGAAGACGTTGAATCTTCTTTGTTATTTTGTGTTAGTGACACCCATGGACTCAAATTTCTAAGGAATTGGCATCATTTTTAGGCCAGTTTGCAGATTTATCACCCGAAGATAGACCGTTTGGACTAAACTTGACTAAAAACATCGCTCGACAAATCACTACCGGATCGTTCGGTTGATGTACGTGGGAGTGTCTATCTGGCCATCAAAAACCTGTGTCAAGTCACCCGAAGATAGACCGTTTGGACTAAACCTGACTGAAAACGACAAATCACTACCGGATCGTTCAGTTGATTTACGTGAGTGTCTATCTGGCTATCAAAAACTTGTGTCAAGACTGCCAAATGAGGTTAGGCTTCAGTCTTATTGTACTGCACCCGATTGGTGTGTGGAGTAAAACTGCGTGGGCAGCCTAACCATGAGAATGGAACTACACGCAACAGTTTGACGGCTACCTGGTGTAGGTAGATGAGATGCGGTTGGAAATGCACAGAACTACTAGACCCTTGGGGGTTAAACATTACGAAAGCAAGAATGTTGTGACAACCGTATGAAAGTAACTGACGAATTTCAAAAGAATTCAGCAAGTAGTATCTTACAGATTATTCGGTGGGGAAAACATATGGTTGGGTAGACGACTCAAGTTTGGAAGTGTGGGAATCTTTTCGGGCAACGGATTACATGACACCCTTCAAAGCACAGGAAGAAGTAGGTGCAGACAAATGACAACTGATATCACTGAGACATCTTCAAAAGAAGGCACTCGTTGGATTTTGATTGAATCAGACTCGTTGTTACAGAACCTTCCCGAAATCGAACATTTGCTGCGGATTTAAAAAGGCTGGTTAATCATGCAAACTGCTTTGCATTAGCATCTTGTGCGCCTTTAAGGGGAAAACACACTCATCAAACTGATTACTTGCATTTTTTCTCCGGGAGTTTTTCTCCCTGCCCTTGGCCCGACTGTACTTGTGATTCATTGGGAAATTGCACGCAAGAATCTCTGCCGCTGTCTTTTTTTTGCTCTCGAAACCCTAATCCCTTCATCTTTCCTTATCTTTGAGGCTTACTCTGAAGCTTTGCAAGAAAAAATGTAAACAGGTTTGACGGGTTACGCTCACTCGAATACATCTTCATCCACGTAAAGTTTGTCTTTGCTCGAGTCCGGTATGTGGTTAATGGCATCACGAGCAAGTGGATTCTGCAGGTCATTCACGATCGCTTCAGTGAACATAGGTCACCACAGGGGTTGTACTTGTGAAACTGTGCTCCACCCACGTGATCCTCATCTCAAAGTGGTCCTAACAATAACTCGCGCCCCTACAACACTTGTATCAGTAAATCGAAGTCGTTGTTTTGCACAGAAAACCCAACACTGAATTTTGATCTACAGAACCACAACATGACCCGATCTCCTGTTCAAATTAGGACGTTCAACTTTTCAGCATATGCTACACATTGAATTCGTGGTCACTTTTGATTAGGTGCAGAACGTCATTGAGGCCAGCTAAAACTAGGTAACAAAATCACTCCATTTCAGCACATTCGGTGTCTAATCACTAAATTACAGCGGCTTCGCAGTCTTCACGTT